TTCCCTCCTGAATTTCAACCCATTTTAGAGACATATGGACTTTCTCTTTTTAAGAAAAAGCAATGAACAACTTTCCTTTTGCTGTTTTTGCTTGGGGACATACACAGAAATCAAAAGTGTAATAAATTAGTAGGAAAATCAATTATTTTGCAAAAAGTAAAGCTAATTCTCTCTTTTTTTTAAGTGGTGACAAAATGAACACTTGTAATAGGATTTTAGCTTCAGGAGATATTTATTACCACAGCACACAAAGTAAAATAAAAAGACCAGAGTTGTTTATTTTATGAAACAGAAGTGGCAGTGCAGGGGTTGGAGAGCACACTGTTCTTTCTGGGATAACAATCCCTTTCCCTAGCAGTAACAGCTCATTTTGTCCTGTTTCAGTGTAGTAATTTTAGTACTTTGAAACTTTGAAATTTATTCAGAATAACAGTTTTATATTTCCAAGCACAGATTGTCATTGCCAGAAAAAATAAACCTAATTTTCCAGGTCATTTTGGGCCACTGTGGCTAGGGTCAGGTTTTGTGTTGAGTTAAAGTAGAGGAAGAAAAATGAAAAAATGATCATAGAAATGTAACATTGACATTCTGGAAAAATTGTGTGTGTGTGTGTGTGTGTGTGTGTTTTGTTTCTTAAAGCAATTACAGTTTTAAAACCTAATGATTATTCACTTAATATGTGACCCAAGATAGTTCATTAGGAAAACTGTTTTTAAAAATGTTTCTATGAATCTTGAAAAATATGCATTTGTGGTTGTCCAAAATACTTTTGCTAGCTGGCCATAGAGAATCATAGAGTTTACTAAGGTTAGGTTTCCTAGGGGAAAAATAGGTATTGGAAAAATATACTTTGGAAGCATATATGGATAAGCTTGGATGTGTCATGTATAATTTATGTATGAAGCCAACATTTCTTGAAATTGCTCAATAAAATTTCTTTATAGATTAATCTTTGGTATTTTAGTCTCAGACTGATTTATTTTTATTTTGATTGCTTTCTTATTAAACTTCTTATTTTGAGATCATTGTAGATTCACATGCATTTATAAGTGGTACCAAGAGATCCCGTATACCCTTCCCTCGGCTTCCCCCAATGGTAACATCTGGCAAAACTATACTACAATATCACAACCAGGATATCGACATTGGTAAGAGTCAAGATATAGAACAGTGATTCTTCGTGTTGCCCTTTCATAGCGACATTCGCCTTAACCTCCTCTGTCATACACCTCTACCACTTCATCCCCCACCCCTAATCCATAATCCCTGGCAACCAATGATCTGGTCTCCAATAATTTTGTCATTTCAAGAAGGTTATATAAATGGAATCATGAGCTAGACAGCAAGACCACACTTGACCCCTTTGTCTGCTGCTATGTAACCTTTCGGGAGTAGGTTTTTTTCACTCAGTGTAATTCTCTGGAGCTTTATTTAGGTCGTTGCCTATATTGTTTATTCCTTTTTATTGTTGAGTAGTATTACATGGTATGAAAATACTATAGTTTGTTTAATCTGTTGGAAGAACATCTGGGTTTTTTTTCTACTCCCGTTTTTGGCTATTAAGTACAGAGTTGCTGTAA